AAATTAATCTCTCCTAAAAATATACCCTTTCAATTTAAACCAGAGAGCTAATTTATTCAAATCATTTTGTAGTATTTGAATCTGTTGAAAACACTTTCCCAACACCAGAACAAAAATTACGGTCTCTCGAAGTCATAATGATCTTCTGAGGACGCTAACTTGGTTGGCGAAACGTGCGTCGAGAAACCGTAATTTTTGTTCTGGTGTTGAGAAAATGTTTTCAATAGATTCATTTCATTTTGATCAGTATGAACTATCGCGTTGTATTATATGATTGTCATTAGGTGATATAATAACAACAAAATATGAAAAATGATGTAAGAAACAAATTGTAGTTTGTGCTGGGCCTCTCTTAGCCATGACCGATAGAGTTCCATTAAAGCCTGGTACTAAGGAGATTTCTGGCAAAGTTTGTCGGTTTCCTTAAGGTTTGTAATCTAACGTTCACCGTCCTGCAGCCGTGATACATAGCCACTGCTGGGACCCTTCGTGGACCACAAAGAAACCAAATAATCCTAACCTGGGAAGATGAAAGTCGGCTAAACGACCTTCTGATGCAGCCAGGAAGAGACTTATAGCCTCCTCAAGAGCAGGATATCTTATCAACCTACAGTTCAAGATATCCTGTATAATGCAATTACTTTGTTTCCCCAGCACGTTTCCATCATGGTTCAGTTCTGAGCTCAAACACTCGTTTATTCATAAGATTAAGTATCAAAAAAATCTGGTCTACATGACATTTTTACTTATTTCAAAACTTTAGGAACCAAAGTAAGGAAACACTAGATTTATTTGCAGATTTCTTTCATTAATTTTATACTGATGATGACAATTTACTGCTCTTGTATGATTTTGAAAAACATACAATACTGATTCATATTCTATTGATCTTGCAAATATATTTGATCGGATAAAAAATTCACTACTGAAATTATCTACTGGACCGGAAGGAATTCCATAATGTCTTTCAGAAAAGAGTGTATACTTACAAAACAAATTGAATAGGGTTTATTTTTAGAAGAGAATAATTTTTGATTGAGTGAATGGAGCTAACCACCCACATCTACCCATCAGGATACCGTCCCACCGTTTGAAGTAACATTTTATATTCAGTTTCTTTCCTTCTGAATATCATAACCACATAGCTTCTCTTTTAAATATCATAACCATAATAAAGGTTACCTTTTTTCATTTTTGTTGATGAAATAACTATCGAAATATAGCTTTAGAGATGTCGTTAATAGTAAATTCAAATCCTATTTATCTATATCGCTTTCAATAAGTCGTTATGGGTATTCATTTTCAACATTGGTTATCGCCATCACTGGTGTACCTCTGGGTTCTATTGTGGGTCCCAATTTGTCAGTGTTCTACTCCACACTCCGTTGGTAAAAACGACAATTACTTGGTCTCAAGAATTGTACAGCAAAGTGAGCATGTGAATGCAAAAGAAATTTTACTAATCGAAGAAAAAACTGTAGGCACTGCATTCAACAAGGAAGATCTTTTTCAAAAGAAACAATCTTTGAGTATCAAAAACAAAATATCTATCTATCTAATTGAATTCCATAACGAATGTTTGACTACAAACTGAATAGAAAAATTTGTTTTTGTATAATTCATATATGAGTAGTTGTTACTAAAGCATTTTTTCTTTCGTGTAATTTAATGTTTATATGGAAATACTTGTTTCAAAAGGGCTTCTTTCTCCAGTTAAAGTTCAAGTTACTTCTTTGCATGAACTACGCATCTTTGTTCAGTTTATTTTGAAATTTATTGCTTTCTTTCTTTCTTTGAAAGATTCCTACATTTTTGTATAAAGATAGAGAAGTTGAAGGTCAAAACCTTTTTTTTCCAAAAATTATTCACTCTTGAAAAGGTATCCCATCGAAGAATTCAAAACGTTGCATTCATGACCCAGCCTAGTATAACTGATAAGGTCCATTGCAGACCGAGACTGAAGTTTCTGGTATTAAGTCACGAATGCAACACTTATCTGGCCCTTCATTATTCTTTTCAATTTTCAGCTGAGCAAGTTTCGTGCTATTTGACCAACCATCCCAATTTTTTGGAACAATACATCATGGATAACGTTGAGATGGAACAAATAGAACGTTGGATTATAAGAAAATCGAAAAAGGGAAGGAGACCTAGTGATTTTGAAAAAGCTGTAAGAAAGACTAGTTTGTCTAGATGGAAGTTTTGCGTACACGCTGATAAGCGAAAAATGCTCCAAAGCCTAACTCGCAAACTCCAGATTAAACCTTCAAAGGATTATGTTCTATGGGAATTGGCTAACTGCATTAGTTCGGCTGTTAATGCTGATGGTTTCAGGTAACTGAACTCACATTCTGGGTGATTTTGGCGTGACACAACGAAAATCTAAGATAAGCATAATGATATTTATTATATTTACTTTGGTTAATACAAAGGAAAAACTGAAAAAATAATCCGTTCCCAAAAAAGAATTACTATAGGTATCTATATAATGCGCGGCTTTTCCCCGCGCAAACATATTGTTTTACTCTTAAGCAACCACTACAGTCTTGATGCACCAATTTTCCACACATTCTGCACCTGTACCACATCTCCCTGCCCTTACCAAATTCATTACAAATTAAGCAGAACTCTTTTGGATCAGCATCATCCAGTTCATCATCATCATGTAGATTATTGTCATCTATACTTTCATCAGAAGAAGAGTCTTCTGAACATAACTTTCGCCCAACGGCTGCTTTTTGGTATCACTTCCAGCTTTGGCACATTTCTTAGCTGGTGCAGATGACTTTGGGTAATTTCGTAGTTTTATTGTAAAGTCGCCTTTCTTTTTCCTTTCACAAAAAGTGAGAATCTCAGAGTGTTGCTTTTGTCTTGAAGGCTTCTTCTCACAAGTTCATTCCTCAGGAATTCCAAATATATTATTCACTTCCGTGGATTGTCTTTCATATTCAAAACAGGCGGGGTTTTATTAGTTTCATCATGAGCAACTGGAACTGGAGATATTTTGTTTCTTTCTGGCGCTGCATGAGCTTTCTCTGGAACTTCAGGATCTCTTGAAGTATCAGACGCCAGGAAGTCTTCATCAGTAAAGACAATTGGGTTGATAAGATAGATTCCAGTCACTTCAAAGCCCATTAGGTACTGCTTTCTCTACTATAACTATACGTTCATAAGCTTTGTGAAAAAGGGATGCCAAGTCATGCGGAATAATTTGCTGATACTGATTATATTTCATGAAAACATCTATTTCGCTATTTAACGCTGTCTTCAATGGCCCAAATACCGTTACGTCCAGCGGCTGCATCGTATGGGAGGTGCAGGTAATGAGAGCATATGAATTCCATTTTGTGTGCAAAACTCGTAGCTATTGAGGAAAGTGTGGCTGCTATGGTTGTCCAGTGCAAGAAGAACTGGCATGAACTGTTGTCTTAAAAATGTTCGAGCCATTCTAAAAACAATTCTACGGTCATCCAACCTGACTTGCTACATCTATAAATTGAACCAGGGAGTTCCAACTGGTTACAACACTAACCTGTTTTTGGTCTTTTTGGGCAGGTATATTGAAAGGATTTTATACTGTAGAAATTCCTGTCTCGTCAACATTAAAAATACTTGCAGAGAGAAATTTATAACGTCCCATTAGAGATTCAAGGTTTGAGAAAAATATGCCAACTTCAACTCTACAACTTCAATGAACTCTATTAAAACTTTAACTCTGTTTACACTCGTTGTTTCTGGTTCTCAAACTTAAATTTGGGTTTTTTCTAAAGAAAACCACACATCCAGTCGGCACCAGCAATTATTCTAACTCTATTGAACTTATGGTTAATTTTATTCCTTTCAGCGTATCTATTCATATACTAAGTGCCTTAATTTGATTTGTGACACCCCATAAAATAGTTTTGATAAAAGCAAAACCTGTGTTGCAATATCCTTTTCTTGCTCTTGTATAAATGTCGCAGAACGTCCTAATTTAGGAGCTGTGCAAATTCCAGTTCGCAATCGATTTCTAATTGAACTATAAGAAAAACCGCATTTCTTGCTGGCTCTTCGGATACTGGCATCATGACGAATCGCCCCTAAAGCTTCATCCATGACTTCTACGGACCAGAAAGCAATTTGAGTGGTTCTTTTCCTCTGACGAGGCATCTAAAATAAAAGCGAATTGAACTAACAGCCACAAGCGAAAATGGCGCTCACTCTAAGGGTAATGACGCTCAAAACCTGAGCGGCATAACCTGGAAGGTACCGTTTGTTTATAACCTAAAAAATGTAAACACTATAACTGAATCTAAAACTGCATAAGTGTACGTAACAACTGTCGCCGCTCGTAATTCTCCGCACTAAAGCACCGTAGCGCACACCGTTTTCATATCGCGTGAGCGCAATTACTCACATCACCCGCGTGAACGCCATTCCCCCACCTTCCCCTATCCCTGAAAATGACTTCTTCAAAACGATTTTTGAATTAGTAGAATTTTATAATTTTGTTGGGACTAGTAACTGATGCTAACACCAAATCTGCCGTGCCCAATAGTTTAGGGGTAGAGACGATTGTGGATACTAGTCAATCCAGCAAAAATTCCGCTGGATTGAAAACAGTGCATGATTCCTTAATGTAGGTCAAGTCTCCTGTAGCTCAACAATTATTTGATGGCTTACTTCGAAGTATGTATGAATATTAAAATGAATACCTTGGAATTGATAGATTTTGTAAGTCTGGAACTCTTCTTTTGCAGTGCAGTTATTCAGCATTTCACAAACCTAAGGCGATGCCAATGACAGGTTCTGGTACAATAAAAACGCTTGCGACGTTTTCCCTTATATTAATTATCCTTTCTCGGGGAGAGCAACGGGAGGCGGCGCCTACTTGGCCACACCCGTCGAGTCCCAACCACCCGGCCGTGTGTCACAGGAAATTCAGAATCCAGTGCCTGACTCAGTGTTGCGTTCGGTTTGAAAGACTAGCTCGTTGAATGTGTGTTCGAATGTTTTCTGAAAAGCGGTACCAATCTCGTCCAGAAGGCAACCTCAGGTCTCTAATGATCTTCAACTACCCCTGAAGTCATCCACCATTAGCTCTGCTTCGTCCATTTCATCTGCAGCAGAGAGGGTCCTTTTCGGCTTGGATCGCCTCCATCGCTTCACTGCAAGCACTAAGCAACGTCTTCGATACATCGATTCTTGGTCGTCTTTACAAGCGTCTTCACTTCACTAGTCACTTCGTGACTATGACTCCCGCAGGCCAACGCTATTGACAGGGTTCTGCTTTAGATGATTCAAAACTATAATTCTTCATAATAGTAAATGTATGGTTCTATGCACGTGGAGCTCGTTTCAAATCATACGAACTCGTCTTGGGACGACACCATATTAACATCTCCAGTATCAAGATTTTTAAGAATTTCCGCGCGTGTATATTTCGTCATCAAGAGTTCCATCTAGGAAAGTTCTTTTGATATAGAACTGATATATTTGAAAGTCCATTAATGCAGCTATAGCAAAATTGGCTCGAACAAAATCATAACAAACTATTGGTGTGGAAGTTTCATTTCAATGAAATCTTTCCTTTTGCAACAAGTTGAACTATTTTCCAACATTCCTGCTTCCTGGTGATGCTTTCATCTTGAAAACCCAATGGAACCATCTATGGTTCCTGTTTTTTACTAAATTCTACATATTATTACTGTTCAGAGGAAAAATTCTGATAACACTGCTGACAGCATCGTTTGATCTCTTCATAGGTATCTAGTCTGCCTCAGTCTTAAATGATGTCTGAAGACCTATTGGTTCATTATGTTCTTGATATTCATCTCTATCAGAATCATCGAAAATTACTTCATCACTTTTGTAGTCGACTTTGTATTTTTTATTGTATTGTCCACCATAGCTAATGATTATTTTTCCTTTGTCGGAAATGAATAAGCTATAGTTTAAAAAAAAGATTAATATACTACAATGCTTTTGCATCCCATTTCTTTCTCCCTAGATTCTACTTTGCTGAATAGATATTTTAGTGAAGGTTTTCTGGTAACTTCAAATTTGGAATTCGGTTTCTAGCCGAAGCTGGTTCACTCTGTGAATACACTCTTGCTATAGCAAGGAAAACACGAAGTCTTAAGGTTACAAACAAGAGTATGTAGGATAAAAGTTAAGTTTCGGGGAATATATGTTGCCTCAGAAGGTACCTTTCTCATTAGGCGATTCCTATCTTTCAAATTTAAATAATACACAAAGTGTCATTTTATGTGGAATATAACATTGTTCTAATATTCGCCACGGTTTCTCTGACTGGAGCGTTTCCGAAATGTTCAATTATCCATGACTGGCGTATGAATCAGTCTTAATTTGACTGATGACATGTGTTATGTTGGCTTTGAGGACCGTTGTGGTTTATTCACATACACTTGCAACTCAAGAAAACCACACATGAAAAAGTCTGACGGGGTCAAATCTTACAATCTCGGTGGCCAGTTCACATCACCTCCAAATGCCTCGTGCAAATTATCCAATGTGGCATGAGCTGTGTGGCACGTAGCGCCGTCCTGTCGAAACTACATGTCGTTGGTGTTCAGATCATCCAATTCAGGCCAAAAGCAGTTGGTAATCATCGACCTATAGTGTTCGCCGTTAAAAGTGATGGTCTGGCCAACGTTGTTCTCAAAGAAATATGGACGGATGTCTCCGCCAGCCCAATATCCACACCAAGCAGCAGTGACTTTTTCGGGATGCATTGGACGCGCTTGGATCTCATGTGGATTTATATAGTCCCAAATTCGACAATTTTGTTTCTTCACGTACCCATTCATCCAGAAATGGGCATCATAGCTGAAGATGATTTTTCGATGAAAATTAGGGTAAATTGCCCCAAAGCCCATTCAGCGAAGACACGTCAATGTCTATAGTCGTTTACCTTCAGCTCCTGGGTCAGTTGAATTTTGCACGGGTTTAGGTCCAAGTCACGACGCAAAATTCGCCAAATTGTGGTCTGTGAAAGGCCGAGTTCTTGTGAGCGATACAAAATCTCCTGAACACTCTCACAGACAGAGGCGATGTTTTCGACAGATCTTGCATTTCGTCGACGTACAGGTGTTGGTCGATCGTTTCCTGAACCAGTGGACTCAAGTTTATCCACCACATTGCGATTAGTCCTCTTGGTAGGACGATTATGGCGACCGTAAAACAGGCGAAGCGCGAGGTACATTGTTATTGAATGATATATAGGTCCATGGTGATTTGGCAAACCAGACTGAATAAGTGACGACTAATTTGACAGATGTAGCTTCAGTGTAGATGCAAATATTTACAGTTGATTTCTCTGTCTTCTTCTCTTTTTTATGGTCTTTGCTTCCCTTCGGCGCAGTAGACCAGACTTACAGTTGATTTACATTTGAAATCCTTTTGTGGTGCTCAACTTCTGAAGCAACCATATATTTGTCCAGCCGAAAAGACCAATTGGAACTCTATCTAGACTTGGATATAGCGATTGATGCAAAGATGCCCTTCATTAATAAGGAATGCTAACGATTCTCAGGGCGTATATTCAGTTGTTAGAAGATTGTTAACTCCAACTTAATGCAGTTCTCAACAATTGCACTCAATCATTGTTATGATGCCCTAGGTAGAGTCACTGCAAATTCTTCACAACGATTGGGAAAACACAGCAGGGATGTAATTATTGGGGAGCAGAATTATATCTCAGGATACTCGGCAATATGAAAAAACACAAAAAATTGTCCATCTTGTTGGAAAAAGTACTCAAAGAAATGTTATTTATTATTCAGTAGAAGAATTCCGTAATGACTATTCATTACATTATAATGTACTTACATCCCTTGTAGGTATACATATATGTTTGGATATTTTGTATATTTTAATTTTATTATTTCTATAAATGTGTGAGACGATCATTTCATTAATGTATTATTGATTCATATGCAGATTGTTCATAGTAGACAAAGGAGATCCCAACGTATTACTTCTATACCCGGGCGAGGAACATACACAGAGCAGCAGTGCACCCCATCTTCAGAGAATGAAAAAAGATATCAGCATAGCATTATATGTAGCTCGAACTCAACAACCTGTTCGTCTTTCTCGGGGTAAACCTGACTCTCGCTTCAGTAGTGAAATCATGAACGAGGTGAGAATAATGCATTCTGAACTGTAGGAACAATTTTTATTTGAAGAGCTTGATTCAGTTGTTTTTTGTTTAATTTGGAAAAGAATATGTATCTTTGCCAGAGATAGGATAGATTCAAAAGATTTCTCAAGTTCGATTGAAAATGTCTTTGGCAATTGGGATATAACTTTGATCTGTAATTTTTGTTCATTTCTATGAATGGCTCATTTGTTTACTTTTTGAAACAAAGCTCGATCATAATGAAAAATAGTGATGGTGGTTTTATTAACAGCAGATAAAAGGCACCAATTGGCAAGAATATATGCAGTGTGAAATTCATTAATCAATTAAAATAAGTAGGTACTTCCCTTGAATAGGTTGGCAAAAACATAAAATACATTTGTTTGAAAGTGGTTGATAATGTTCCACGGTGAATTTTACTAGTTTGGACTTCTGCCTATTATGATAGAAAATGTTTTGTAATATCTGAAAAGACAAGTAAAATTAAAAAATACGGTGAATAGCTAAAATTAAAAATTATATTAAGCAATAAAACATGATATGAAATTACATTAAAATACAAATACGCAAAAAATTTAACATACTTGAATTTTTGAAATAATATTTGTTATGACTGTATTTAAATTCATTACGTAAGTCCAGTGGCTCCTCTTGTGACACTTGTACTCATAGATGAAGGGGCAAAGATGTAAAAAATCATAAAATCTCCTCGTCTGGTAACAGGTGAGCTACAAGTAAGTTTTTGAAAATGGATCGCCTGGTTGCCATTGCTGAGGTCAGAGGTTGAAAAGAGAAATATCAACTATTCAAATGATTTCTAGATGTATTTGTATTCACGTAGACCAGGGGTCTCCAAACTTTGAAGCCTTCAGGCCATAATGATTTTTTCAGTTTGTTCCAAGGGCCAATTTCTGCCCTTAACTATATTTCTAGACTAGGATAGTCGCAAAGTGCGTGACCTAAGCAAACTTACGCTTTTTTTGCATTTCAATTATTATTGTGTATTGTGACACTTAACGACATCTAGTGGCGAGTAGTGGTACTATGTACTATCTTTTTCAGCTACCCGCTAGGTGGCATTAGGCGTAAT